GTCATGTCCGAGGCAAATGCTAGGGATTTTAAATTAAATTTGTCTATTATTAGAGGGTTGACAGTTGGAATTTTTCGTTAGTTGTTGTTTTTTAACTAGTTCAAGTCAATTGACTCATATTGTTTAAGTAATTTAAAACTACATTATTTAAACCAATTTTAAAACCATAATTATATTTATTCTTGAAATAAAACTTAACTAGAAGACATTATTTGAAATGAGAAAAACAGTCTAAAAATAAAAACTGTTGGGAGCAGAAATATTAAAAGTTCTTGTTCAATATTGACAAATGGGTTTCAACAGACAAAAACTTTACTTAAAAACTGTCTGCCCATTTTATTATGGATAGAAACACAACTCTGGTAGGTCTTTTTCAGGGCAGTGGACAATAGGAAGATGTCTCAACATTATTTGTTGCCTCAAAGTATGTAATAAACTGTCAGATTTGCAGTGAGTATATTCTGCAGTACTGTTCTGCTATAATTTAAGACTTTTTAGCAAACTGCAGAGTTGAGCAATGATACAATTGTGTGTATACATAAATTTATAGCAAATTTTATTAGACAGGTGCTTTCACCTTGCATATACAAGCTTATCTGTAAAGGGGATCACACTTCACAGTTGATGTAGTCTCCAGTTGTTGTTGGCAAAATAGGTAAGGTTGTACATAGCCTTGAAGATGACTTCAAGATGATTTAGGATAAGGACTATTTGTCTTGAAAAGGAGGTTTTTCTGATCTATGACATTTCTTACAGATTTTTTTAAAAAGGTGGATCTTGATAATTACTTTTGGAATAGATAGCAATGAGCAGACAGGCTCCACATGAATGCCTTTGTCCCTAAATAGCATGAAGAATTGTTTTCTGCAAAAGATCTCACCACTTGGTCAAGCAACAGATGCTCATTTCCACACCTGGGAGCTTGTGCTGTGCTCTCTGCCCCACCATCTCCTCCTTCAGCGTTGGCAGGGTGCCTGCCGGGGCTCTGCCCCGCTCCGCTCCCAAGTGCAGATGCAGACACCCTTCCAAATCCAGTGTCGCCTTTATAGTCCTCTGTGTTCTGATGTAAGCAGTTGGGCTCTACCTGGTCCCTGAATGCTTTTCAGATCTCTTGAACCCTCTGGTTACTTAAGACATGCAACGTTATTCCAAGATTTGCAGTAGTCCCCGTTCTATTCCAAATAGAGTGAAGATGTCAGTTAAAGAGGTAAGTTATTTAAATAGCTCATGCAGTTGAGAAATGCACTCGCTGTTGAAACAGCAAAAAAGGCAAAGAGAGAATTTGCCAGACAGTATGCAATTTTTAATATGAAATCCATAATTACCGTATTTGCTTGAAGGCAGAGTTGGCACAGTATGCAGATGTCACAGTTTGAAGAGCAGCAGAATCCCATAGCTGCTTGTGTTTCAGGCTGTATACAACAGGAAACTATAAAACATACTCATGCCGTACTAACATGTTTGGAAACCTACTGCAGCAGCATAGATGGAAATGTTTAAATAAGATGTTACATTAAGATGTCATTAAATAGAAAAGCAAGGAACAGTACAGCAAAACCTTGATGTCTAAGTAATCAAATCTTTAGCTTTCCTGCTAGAAATGCTGAAATTTAGGAGACCTTTTTACTTACAAGTGTTAAATAGATGCCAGTCTGAGTGCCACACCAAGATATAGATTGTAAAAAGAGAGTGTTAATAAAACTTCAAATATTTTTAAGAAATTATCCACTGTCTCTGTTAAAGTGAGAATCAAAATATAACACAGACATATGCATAAGATAGGAAAATTTCTTCATGCAAATATATACTCATCTTAATTCATAATTTAAGATTGCCTGTTAGGAGGAGGAGGCTGTATACATTGGGGGATATCCTGTGTAACTGTATGCTCAGCTTTATTTCAGTCTGTGATTGAAATATATGAAATGCTAATTTTTATATAGGTAATTGTGGTTTGAAATTTATATACTATGCACAATGGTATGGGGACATACTAATTAGTAATTCCATATCCGTTTTGGGCAAAAGAGCAAAAAGCATGATACACAGCTTGATTCAGTGGTGTTAGTTAAACTAAAAAGAGAAATAATACGGAAATAAAGCTCATAAATCCTACTGTGTAGAAAAGGGATAAGATATTAATTTTTCTTCCACCAAATTAATTCTTACTAACAACACAGTGATTATTACAACAGCCATTATTATAAGTCTAAAATGAGAGTAATTGCAGAGGTTTGATGTAAAGCTAAGAAACGAGATGTTAATCTGAAACGAAGAGTTTAAATACGGAATTATGATATACTTGGCTTTCTGTAGTGTAGCTGTCAGGCTCGGGCAGTTCGCTGGTCAATAGTGACATTCTGTGTGTCAGTGAACAGAGTCTCCTGATACCTTACCCTGCAGTTCACACATTACTGAAGCTCCAACTGTCGAACATTCAAGTCCCTTGGTACTCCTGCAGCTTCCAGACTCTCCTGACTGGCTCATGTTTCATTCTTTGGCAATTTGCCCTAATGATATCCCTCAGGAGCTTTCAGACCCTCTTCTTTTCCATATTTAATCGTGTTATATTAATCTGAGTGCTGAGCAAACTGTGCTGCACACATTGTAATTGTCCATGATTTCTGCTGCGATGGTTTTCTAATTATTATTTTTTTTTATTTTTAGTGTAAAAATACATGTACAAAATTGCAGTATAATTTTTATTTGTAAGTTTAAATGTCCAAGACAGCCAGGGTATGAGGGCTTTAACTGCTGATCTGTTCTACAAAGAGTTTTTTTTTTTCCCCCTGTAAAATCCATAATGTTTTAGCACTTGCTGTACGGACAGGATTTACATTTTATTTTTAGCTCTTCGTTTTGTTGCTGTAAAAATACGTGTCTAATAAACAACGCTATTATCCAGTTAACCTCAGATAGTAATTTTGTTGTGATATAAAACATTAGGACAGTCTTATCTTTTCCCATAAGCTTGGGGTCTTTTACGTGGGACATTCCCTTTTTGTAATTCTTTTTTCTTTATTTTATGAGGTTTGTAGTTTATTTGCTGGATATAGACTACCTCATTTTGAATGCGGTCTTGGTATTTTCTCATTCTGTTGTAACTCTGTGGCTGCATAATAAAAAAAAAACAAACTTGAGTGACTCCCTGATAGTGAAGTGGTATTTGATAGATCAAATTTGAATTCTTTAGGTATTGCAGATTGTTTTGTTCACTCAAGGACTGAACTAGACCACATTTCTAATAAATTCCGTAGTTTTTTTTGGTGGTGGGTGGGGTTTTGTTTTAGAAAACCAGGTTTTGCACAGTAAGCAGATTGTAACATCTCCTTCCTTGGTCAAGGAGTCCTTCGTTTTGTGGTGATGCTGGTGCCAGCCTTGCCAGTCCCTGCTTTGGGCAGAGAGTTTTGGAAAAGAGTAATAAAGTTGCTTCGCTGTCACAGGGAATATTCACTCCAGATTTTTTTAAAGGTAGTTTGGTAATCAAGGTAGTGACACAAACAGAAATTACTCCTGCTCCTGAGTTTAATGCTCTTCAGCTCAGTTCCAGTTGTTGCAGAGAGCAGCGATGTGGACCAGAGCGCTCCCTGAGTGTCTCCCGCCCAGTGGAGCGGCGTGCGGCTGGGGTGCCCTCGAGTTCTGGGTGTTGGTGGCAGTACCGTGTTTGAGAAACATCACGTACTGCATGTTTATTTTCTTTTTTTCAAGGAAAAAGCTGAGCAGGGCTAACTCTTAATTGGCTTGTTAGTCTGTCTTCTTGAAAACGTTGTACACGGGTATCAGAGTTCTTCATAGATGCGTTTAAGCAATTACAAGTAATTAAAAAATGCTGTGATAGGTGGTTTGGGGAGATGAAGATTCTTACATGTCTAAAAGTCAATTTAAGATTTTGTGTTTTCTTTTTATTCATATTTTGTGTTGCCAATTCTGTGTCTGTGTTTCTATTTTTAGTTAACTGCTTGTGTTCATGCGTCAGCTGCATTGTTATATCCAATGTACTGGCAACACATATACATCCCAGTGCTTCCTCCACATCTGCTGGACTACTGCTGGTAAGACAGCTAACCTGCTCTGCCCGTTTCTAAGATTCTTACCTGTCTTGTAATTCTAAGCAACTGATGAAAGTAAGCACTTAAGCCGATGCTTAAATGATGACTTGAATAGGGATGTTTCAGCATGCCGTTACGCGGTGTTTGAATTGGTAACTTGAATGACAGTGCTGATTACTGCCAATGCAGCATTTAGAATTACGTTTATAATGACTGTTCCTGTTTCATTGTTAGGGAATGCATTCAGCAAGTGAAGTGCAGCTGTGTTACAGTTTGCTTTTATTTGGCATTTATTTTAGCTTCAGATAAATGATACTGATAGAACCATTCAGGAAAAAACTAACCAGTTCTTTTGGAATCAAATGTTAGTAGGCATCAATGTTTCCCTTAGACCTATACAATGATTTAATATTTTTATTTTCGACTCAGCCAGGTTCAGGATCCTATACAACACCTCCCTGAGAGAGCTTAAAATCTCCTTTTGGTACTTCCAAAGTTTTCATTATAAGAATTCTGCTTCTCCTGACGTGTTTCTGTTCACATGACAGAACGTGTTTTTGGCAAATTTTTAAGTGGAACAAGAAAGAATGCCTTTTTGAGTCACTTCTGATCCTTCAAGGAGTGATGTTTCCACATGCCTGTGTTTTAAGATGTCAGGCTAAGAGATCTACTTTCTTTTATTCGTAGTAGTGCCAGAGATACCAGATGAGAGTTTCCATCAAAACAGGAGTAGCCATCCCTGGAGACTTTCGCTTTAACTAGACCCCATGGATCTGTGGTGGGAAAATGTACGATTTAAAGCCTTTTTGGAGATCCAGACTGTTACTACATATAAAAACTGAGTCCAAGTCAGATGCCTACCAACATACATCTGTGTTTCTGTTACTAATGTTTTTCTCCACAGAAATAAATTATGCTTGTATGTTTGCTGGACTTTTTTTTTTTTTTTTAACCTATAAATGCTGATGTTCCATTGAACTCCACCCAGTTATTGCACTTCTTGTTTTCAAAGAAATTCTCATTATATTTCCTTAAGTCTCTTTGATAGTTTTTCCTCAGATTTACAGTATTTGCTCATGGTGTATCTTTTTCTGTGATAGTTCCTATATACTTCATATGTATATTATTTATTGTTTTTAAAAAGAAATAAAATATTCTTCTCCCAGTCCCCCCTTTACTTTCAACTATAGCTAAGCCTTTCATCTTTAATGATAGTTTTCTTTTGAAGAAACTCTGTCCTAATTGTTTTTCCTCCTAGCTTTGATAAAATGCACCAAGATGGGGGTAGAGCTTGGATGTATTTGTTTAGTTTTTGTATTATTTGAGCTTACTGCCAGAAGCTTTGTAATTCCTTCAGTATCATCCATAAAGAAGGTAATTCAACACCTTTATTCAAGCTGTACCCTACAGAGTGCATCCTGAATACTAGAAGATTTTTTATTCCCTCCCCAAGCACAGATAATGTTTCCAGAAATAATAATGTTAGATGCTGTACACAGCTTCTTGTGATGATGATAATAGTTTCGATTCTAGGTCATTATGGTGTGACCTGAGAATTTTTTTTTTACTCATTAAAAAGAAGCATGGAGTTTCTTAAACTTGTAATACTCACTTATATCCCTTTTTCTTTTTCACAGTACTACAGTAGAGTGGGGAAAAAAAATTCCCTTTTTTAGACATTTTAAATGGAAACAAAGTTCATGAAGGGAAATGCACAATTGATGAATTACCACAGTAACTATAATTCAGACCTTTTAATTCAGATTTTCATTCATTTACGTTTCTCTGTCTGCTTATGTCTTGTTTGAATGGTTCTTTTGTGAGACAGATTGGAATAGTGTAATAAAAACACATAAAATACTTAGCTTTCCTCATGTTTTGGCATATTAACAGTGAATAAATATTTTCCTTATAGGTATATAATATATCAAGTTAGAAAACCATGATGAATTCATAAGGTCAAGGTTTATGCTAGGCCAGACCTAGTCTGAAGTCCAAGAGGGTCATGTCAATTTAAAAATAATGAAATAATTTTCTATTCTTTTTTATATTTTTATTTTGGTAGATCAAAATTATTTTTCTAAAAGTGCCTGCCTTTCTTTTAGCTTAATGTGCATTTTCATACCTAGAAACTACATTGTCGTTGCTTCAATGGACTTTGTTGGGATGTCTCCCATGAACTCTCATTTTCTTAGTGATGATCTGAAATGGTATTCAAATAAATGAAGTAGGGGATTATGAGTTTGATAATTTTGTTCGTTCCAAGGGAGTAAGGGCATTTGTAAACAAAGATAAAATACATTTAAATCTATTAGTTTAAATATAGGCCCTGATCCTGCAACTTCTTGTTGCATGTTAGTCATCCAACATTTTTTGAGAGAAATCCACAATTTGTTTCAATGAGTTGGACTATATATTTTGAACATTTCATAAAGATAAATGATATAATTCTGTGGGGGTTAGTTTGATAAAGTACGTAAACTGCTCGGCTGGTACATTTCACGGGCATGAAAAAATAAAAAATTATCTTTGAGTAAAACAGATCTATATTTAAAAATTATATAAATTCTTCCACTTGCCTTTTTAATCAAAAAGCTTCTTAGGTTCTATCAGGCAGCCTGATATACAGACTGTTTGTAGACATAACGTAAAGAATGTTCTTAAAGTAGTCCAGCCCACCTGTATTGCGCACCAGTGTGGGCTCTGATGTTGTCAGGGTTCCGAGTCCTTGCAAGGTCCAGTGGGCGGAGATACTGTGTATTTATTTACTTGGGGATGTTGTCCGTCCCGTCCCCCCTGTAGCTTTGCTTGGCCTCCAATTCCATTATGAGACTCCAATGTGAGAATTGGAACAACCATCCAAAAAAGAAAGGGTAATAGATTTCTTTTTGTAAAAGAGCAAAATATTAGGCAGTGAAAGTAATTTTTGTTTTAGCTCTACAGGAAGAAAACCGAGCAGAGTTACTACAAAATTTAATTTTCTAAATCTTTTTCAAGACTTTTTTCTATATTTAAATAAGCAAAAAGATACTGTTGCGCTCAGCCCAGTAGGTTTTCAAAAAAAGGCTTTCAAGAACGCTTTTACAAAAATTAAGTTTGAGCATTGATACAGTAATTACACTTGAATAAAATTAATTTTTGTAAAGGAGAAGGCTAATTTAATCAAATTTCTGTGTAATTTCTTGGCAAACTAAGTCAGTGATAAAAGAATGTATGACAGTTTTGTCTGTGGACGATAAAGCATCTGTTCTGCTGATGCTCTGCTAAGAGTATAATGCAATTAGAAAATTCAAGTTACAATTGCAACGTGTCTTTTTATGAGATTTGATCTCTTCTGGATTGGGATATATGCACCCCTGTTTTCGTGAGAACGGGACAATTATTTTCCAATTAACTTGCATGTTTTGCATAATACAGTAATTATTTTAGGCAATGATGCTACAGATTAATAACATTTTTGGTAATAACATGCATAAGCAAGAGAAAAACTATATAGCGGCTCCCAGCAGCATCATAGTAAGCGATTTCATGTACATATGACACACCTCTGCTGCTAAGGCTTCAGAATCCACCAGCAATAAAATTCGTTCTTTGATGAAAATGATCAAGTTGACTTTCCATACCTACAGTTTTTATTTCATGCATTTTCAAGATGTGTTTGTCTAATTAGCTTTAGTCTGATAACTTCTCAAAATTGAAATGATGTAGCTGTTGCTTTGTTCTATAGGAAAGAGCTATGTACCACCCTTTTTAATGACAGATTTATTAATGGAGCAAATCAGCAGCTGTTTTAAGTCAGTTCAGGCCCGGTGAAGCTGCTAGACCAGCGTCGCTATACAAGAAAACAGGTGTGCACAAACCGCATACATGACGCAGCGCTTGTTTTCGCCGTAGTTTCTCCAGCTCACGTCATTTGTAGCGCTAAGGTAACCCTGATGCGGTGAACCCGAGGATCTGTTTTGCTGCGTAATCAGCAGAAGAATCCTCAGTAACGTGTCAGTCATAGTCGTTCTCCTTGGCTTGGTTAAATATGTTATATAGTATAAAGCGTTCTTAAAATTATATAGTCTTTTAAAGCTGATTCCTCACCGAATGTAAGTGCATGTCTGGTCTGGAGGGACACCCGGTTGTGATTCCGTGTAACTTGTGTTTACGCCCCAAAGGCATAAGGCCTTAGCCTGGGTGGTGTCATCAGGAGGTGCTCGTATTTCTCAGTATTGGGCTAAGAAAATATGTGTAGGGACACAGGGTCTCCATTTCCCCTTTTGGAAGCCCCATTGCTTAGAAGCCTTAAGCCGTGACAGTTGGCAGTCTCAGCAAACCTTTATTTTGATAGTATAAACTTGACGAAAGCTTGTTTTGGCCTCAGTCTGAGTTTTTGTGGGGTTTTTTTGTTTGTGTTTTCTTTTGGGTTCATTGTTTTTTGTTTGTTTGATTGGGGTTTTTTTTTGGGGGTTTTTTTTGGTTTTTTTTTGTTGGGGTTGTTTTTTGCATCGATCCTCTCCTGTGGGACGTTGTTAATGAGAGCAATTGGCTAATCCATAGGCTGTACAGATTTTTCTAAAACTGGCTGCAGTTGCAGGCAGGTGAGAATTGCTACTTTTGCTCCCCAAGCTGGGACCAAATTGACGTGGCCATGTGCACGGATGCTGTGGAGCCTCTCCCCAGGCCTCGGGAAGTCAATTGCCAATCAGTCGGTGCCAGCGGCTGGGATCCGGGGTCGAATTAATGCGTGGGAGAAATTATTGTATGTCAGCTCTCTGCGTAACTTCATATAAGTCATCCTACCTTCCATTTATTTTTCAGAGATTATTTGTATTTAGTTTTTCTCTCTGCTCCATTAGTATTTTGTTTCCCACTGAGTTGCTTAAACCAGCCTATCTACTGCTCGCTACTCTGGAATGAATATTTTTAGTAATCTTGCAGTACCCAAAAGTGTGATGATGTGTTTTCCCTTCAGCGCTCGATGCTGAGTATATTCTTTGTCAGATGTTGCCAGAATAGATTCACTAGAGGAGGAAACAGAAGATCAGAGGAAACCATGATAAATTAGCCTGACTAATCCAGTTTTTTGCTTGTGTACTGCAGGAGGTCTCACTCCGGAGGCTTTGTGTGGATATTTGCTTTATTTAGAGAATATAGTTTCTTGTCTTACTCAAATTGGAAATGAGAAGTTTTACTTCCTTGAGTTAAATAGCATATTACACAGCTTCCCTACACCCACCACATTCAGAACCAAAAGTGGCGTTAATGATGTTTGCGTTGCGGTGGGCTGATGCTAACTGGTGCCGTATTCTCCAGAATGGGGTTTTAAAACCCTTGCAGCTCTAGAGAGAGACCACTTCTGGGACATCTGCTAGGCTGGCTCTGCCGTACCGTATGGCGGGTTATTGAAACTCGGTACGGAGAGCCCGTTAGCAAGCCTTACACACCTCCTCGCTCGTACTTCCCAAGTTAGGAACAGGGCCCTTTATTTCGTGGTCATCTTTACTGCAGAGTAAAAAATGAAAAAATTCCCTTGTCTAGTAAAAATTTCAGTAGCAACCGTGTACATTTCATACAGGCTTAAACAGTGAATGTTAACTAGGGACTGTATGTGCCAAGATTTTACATATTTTTTGCGCCACGAATGTTGTGGTAGTTGGTACTTAAAACAGTAATTTGGTCTTTTCCACTTTTTTTTTCTTCAGTGCACCCATGCCTTATCTAATTGGCGTCCACTTAAGCTTAATAGAGGTAAGTTTACTATACGCTTCTGCGTACTTGTAAGCAATGAGGTGTGTGTGCCATAAACAATAATTTTAAGGGCAATGCTTCAGAAAGAATCCCTGGTTTTTAGCATACAGAATTACAAAATGTAAGCTTCAGATACTTTACAAATTAAAAAAATGTCTCTCTTTGAAATCTTACTTTTGAAGTGTTTTATGGAGATGTTGTAAGCGCTGTATCATGATTTGTTTCTGTGTCGATTTAAATAGCTTAATGATAGCTTTCTTCCTGCCTTTTTTAGTGGTTCAGCAACAAATTTTCACAATAATAAGAGCAGTTAAAATTTATTTTGGAGTTGCCATCAGTCAGAATTGAGCATCATTCTGATTTCCCAGATAATTTACGTTCCTGTCCCTCTGAAAATCTGAGTCTGACATTCATCCTGGCACATTCATAACTATTAATTTAGAAATCAGTATTTTTTGCCAAAAACCAAGAGATAGCCTTTTCAGATTTAAACATACAAGACAATAGTGTTCACCAAAGTGGTAAGTAACAGCTGTGTCATGCTTTGCCTATTTCCATAACCATGTGATGACACCAGTAAGCCTACCTGTGTAGTCTGATTATCATGCAAAGTAGATAATTGATTTGGGAACTTTATTTGATTTACACTTCTGCTAAAGCAGTTTCTAAGGATCGGTTCACGTTTGCTAAGCTGATGAGATGGGTTCTTCCCCAGCCTGAGCCACTAGCACTTTTGTGTTTCCAAAAAAGAGCCTTCTATCATGTACCCTTCTTAACTTTCGGCACAGCGTTCTGTTCTCTCAAATCAAACTCTTATGAGCTGCATACATTGATCATCATATCTTGACTAGGATCTTTTTCCTTATTCCATCAGAAAATAATGGAAGAGAAAGGCTTGCTCTCAATTCCTTCTGGAATTATTTCCTGGACTGCACTACTATATATTAGTGTAGGACCATATAGAAAAGAGTTCTATCATTTTTTCCTGAAAGGAACAAATTGTTTAATTCTTAGCTGCTAGTCAAGTATATCGATGAAAGATTGTTTCATCCATTCTTCTGTAATACTAATAGACATCACATGCCTAGGACTTGCATAAATCTGCAAGTAATTAGTTTTCTCTTGGTTTTCATCTGACTATATGATTAACATCATATCTTTCACAAATATGAGAGAGTGAAACACTGTTATGTTATGTGTAGTTCCAATATATTTATCTGTGTTTTGTGTAAATCTTGGTTTTCAAGAATTCATTTCTTGAATATGCTTGTATTTCACAGATTATTAATGTAACCTTACTGTTTGATGAAGAGGAAGTGTTTTTAAAAGCTACTCTGAATCCTGCATCTAATTCACAAATCCTAGACCTAAAGCTCCAAATGTTATCTTTGCCATTATCGTCCTTTGTAAAGTCATCGTTTCTAATCTAGCACATTATAATAAAAAAAGTACTTCAGGAGGATGCCATAGTAAAATGTTTTTCTGCTATTTTTTTTTCCTCTTATCAGAGAGTAAAAAATAGATCGCTGGAGGATGTGGTTTTGCTAAATGTTGACACAAACACTCTAGAAACCCCTTTTAATGACCTGAACAACCTACCTGGTGAAGTGGTGAGTCTTACAGATAATTCATTCTTTTTTTCTTACATAGATGCTTGAATTACTAGTAGTTATTTTTGCCTGGTTTTGCTAAGTGCTATAAAAGGAATAAGGGGGTGAAAAGCACCAAGCATAGACCCCTCTGTTTGAGATTTTTACCTTTTTGACAGTTGAGGAGATGTTGAATGGAACATCATATTCCTTATTGTAAAAGTAGAATCATAATTATAAAGCTAGCTGCATTCATTAGGCATAGCTGCTTTAAACGCAAGAGCCTCTTCATCTCCTCTTAATCATTATATTACAAAGTAGGCATTTCTGTCTGCCTAGTGGCATGTCTTGCAAAAGAACGAGAGAGTTTTTGAAGGCAAAAAGAAGAAGGGGGCCAATTATCGGCTTCTGCTTCCCTGCCACCTGCCAGCGCTTTCCTTTTAATTAATGATCTGATGGCACTGGTCAATATAATAAGAAATGCTTGTACAGTTGGGGTCAGAAAATTCAGGCTTTGATCTTCCTCAACTTTCTGAAACATTTATTTGTTTTCTCTAAATTATTTCAGTTTTATTTTAATCTCTTCTATCCTGCTGAGGGCTGCGTGAATGAAAACCTATACTGTTTGTCATTTGCTTTGGCAGAGCAAAGACTGCTTACTTAGAATTCTATTTGTAAATTAAACTGCAAACCCAGTTTGTCATAAAAGACATCTGATCCTTTTGAAATGACGAAAACTGTCTTTTGTCTGCAAAGGATGATAAATTAAGTGCCAGTTCTTTCTGGACTTTGATCTTGCAGAGGGTGTCCCCCCCCCCCGCCCCTTTTCTTTTTCTTATTGCCTGTAGGGGAACATATTCTGTATATCATTTTAAATAGTCACAAAATTCACTTACCTTGTTTTTCCCAATAGAGCTCTAAAAGAATATAATTGTGAAACCGCTGTTTTGATTATTTAGTTATAGATGCTCAAGCTATCGCAAATGGTTGTCAGCACAAAGAATTTTATATCAAAATGTGAAATCAAAGAGTTACATTTTCTGAAATTGTAAATCATGAAAACAAACCGTCTTAAAGTAAGGCGCTGCAGTGACATGCTGTGTCTTTTGGTTTTGTTGGTAATCTGTATATATTTGGTACAATAGAAATCAAACTCCTCATGATTATATTAACGTCAGTTCTCTGATTTTGATGTTAAAATCTAGACTTTTTATAGATTGTCTGGTCAGCCTTTCTTTTGACTCAGTATCAACTATAGTTCAGAAATGTAAAGTACTGTATAAAAATTATTCTGATATTTTGTGATTTTATGTTAGTGTATGAAAAAGTATACACACATGCATACATACATCTATACACAATAATTCTGACTCTACTCTATTGTTCAAGAGTATAACAAGTTAAGTAAAAAATGAGTCGTTTTCTGGTGTGTCAGTAATCTTAACTGACAATGCATTCAGCGAATAAGGTTGAGGTTATAATGTCATGGAGGTACATGCCTCTTGTCAAAGAATAGCTAGATGTAGAATTGAGAATTAGGCATCATCTTCCATAAGATACTGGAGTTATAGCTGGACGTCCTTCAAACAGTAAGAATGTTTTTTTTTCAATGAGAGGGACTTCTCATGTATTTTACAGATGCATATCAAAATGATCTCTAAATCAGTAGACTAGTATGAAGAAAATAGTGATACAGATCTTCATACTTTTAGAAGTATTTTCTCCCTCAGGATATATGCATGTTATTATTATTAATGTTAACGAAGGTTATCCAAGTGTACAGACTATACGGTAGAATTAAAATTTTTCATTCCATATCTAATATAGAAAAAACCAGAACAACTATTTATGCAAAATATATTTGCAGACTTTAAGGATTTTATAATGAAGCTTTTAATTTGAATATTCCCATCTCTTCCTCTACTTCAATCTGTAAAGCACCTTAATTAAAGAATTGAATGGAAAACATATACAATTATAGTTGGCAAACCTGGAAACAAAAGCCACAGACAATGTCTGTGTTTGGCTCAGAAAATGATAAAATGCTTGTTTGTCTTTTGCATTCACGAGGGGCAGTGCAACTGCTAGCATCTCAGTTAGAAAGAAGGGAGTGTGGAGTCAAAATGATAAGTTAGACTTAACACATTAAAGCACATGTCAAAGATACTTACATATGTGAAGCATTTTAACCTATATAAATAAATCTCCTATGGATACGTGCAAAAGTAGTAAAACTTCTGATGAAAAAAATATGAGTACCTCTGAAGGGTGTTAAAATAGAATGAAGAACTGAAAATATAAAAGAAGCTCTAGTCTTAATACCCCTTTCAAAAATTGATTCCAGGTTGGTTAACTGCCTAAAAAAAGACATGCAGTGTTTTCAAAGAGTTTTCTAAAACTGTTTCTTGTGTCCGAAGGAAATGGAGTAATTATTTTCTTGATCAATAAGTCTGATGATGTCCTCACAGCATAGGTATTTAATAGTTTACCCATGTGTAAGTAGCATGTCTATTAAAATACTCTTGATTGTGATTTTTTTCGTGATAAATTTAAGATCGAAAAAACATTATATGGCGTTGCCTAATAAACGGTATAATAAATTAACTGAGATTTAAAGGCATTTTTGAATCATTCACTTAAGCATTTAAATTATAGTTACAGGCTAGATGACTTTCTATGCATGTGAACTCTATTATTCTGTCAGACTGACCAGTGGTCTTGACTGTGCAAAGGTCAGTGGTCACAGTTGTCCTGAATTACCAGTCCTTTTTTCATGTGGACCCTCTGCTGTGTTGCATGCTGTAATCTTCTTAATGGCTTCATTCCAATATTCACACATAATATTTTAGATTTATTGACTGTTAGAAATACTACCATGCCAGTAGCAGTTCCGCTACTCCTAAGGTATTTAAAATTGGAAAAATAAATCAGTGCAAGACTTTGGGAATCCTTTGTTTTCTAAGAGGGGGGAAAAAACCCTCCTTTTCCTTTCTTCTGACAAGAACACTTGTTTTTAAATTTCATCATTTCACTGTGAATTTGTCTATTTAGAATAAATTAAAAAAAAAGTAGCTACTTCTGTGGGAGTAGATTTCCTAATACAATAATACTTAGATCACCACTTTAATAATGTAAGACACTAGACAAAGAACATTTGTGTTGTACATAAATTAGGGGAGACCATAGACACAAGTTAATAAACTTTGGGCCTGATCCTGCAATACCTGCTTGCAGTTAATTCTGACAAAAAGACTACTCCTTTGCTCAAATTTGAACACTTTCAAAAAAAGCTTGGAGAATTGAGGGCATCATGTTTAGCAACAAAATCGTACTGATTTCTCCATAGACTAAGCAGAACTTTTATAAATACGACCTTCAGAAAACAATAGGCTTTATAGGTTTTTAGCATCTTCTGTGGTCATTAAATATTGTTAACCATAAAATCTACAGAGCTGTTGAAAGATGCATAGCCTTTGTACCGTGTGGTGCCTACACACTGTGATGCAATACAGAATCTAAATGGCTTTTTAGAGTTTTTGTTTTGAGATTCCTGAAGTCACAGGTTTTTAACACCGTAAATTGGGCGTATGAACATTAATGTTCTCAAAGTAGTATTTGAGAAGTAGGCTGTAATTCATGTAGAAAATTAAACAGTTACTCTGTAAAACAATTACTGGGAGTGCAAATTATTTCTGAAAATACAATTATTAATAGTATTATAAAGAAGTTATGGTCAACGTGTAACAGTGCAACTAAAAAGATTTTTTGTAAAATAGAAATATCGTAAATTATTACTTTTTCCCATCAGAGAATAGCCAAAAAATATTACTAACATATTTTAGAAACTCAGAGCAGTCAGCAGTGCTTGCAGTGTTATGAGGCAACTATTTATTTTAAATAAATTCTTACAATTGAGATTCTGTTTAACCTTGATATAGTTTTAGAAGCTAGAACATGAAATTGAAAAGTACAGTTAATTTTGGAAACATTTGCATTTAAGTAGTTGTTTTCATCTAAACGAGTATTGGTGATTAAATGCTGGAGCGCTGAGATGCCTAAATCCGGTGTGTGTAGATAATATCAAATATGTAGAAGCCCTTTCATGAACAATATTGATTTAAGTCATATCAGATTCCATTTTGTTGTAAGGTGTTTGTTTTATTTCTCTTCTCTGCCATCAGAAAAAGATTTTCACTTTCTCTCTTACTTTTATGGTGATGTGATCTGATGGGGAACACCAAAAAACAGTTTAAAGCATAACAACTGTCACTGATACCAGAGAAATGCCTGGATATCTTTTTTTTTTCCCAGAGATCTGGTAGTTGTTGGGAACCCCAGTACATGGTTCTGCATTTCTCAGTCGACAAACATTTTGAATACTTCTATATGTGCTTAAATTTATATGTGTGCATAGTTACATCATTTTATTGATTTCTTTTTAAACTTTATGTGCAATTCTATTCTTCTACTCATGAATATTGAAGAGGTATTAGTCACACTTTGTTTCTGATCAAGTAGCTATATTTTAGGAATCTTAGAAAGGACATAGGGTGTCTATTTAAAAAAATAGTGCTTTTTTTTTTTAATGGCCAAGGCAATAAGTTTCTACATTTTAGATATACTTACTTACATATGAAAGAAAAATTGCCTACCAATCTCCCGACTTTCTAAATCTCTGAAAAACTATTCTATTGATTTAAACCTTGCTGAAGCTCTGATTGCTCTTCACTGGTAGTGTTTAGCAGTCCATTCAATGAAGTCACCTTCCTATGAGAAGCCGTTGCTAGGAGAAGATAAAACCAGTTTGCTTCTAGTGTAAATTAATAATACCATTTCTGAAATGGATCACTAGTGTCTTCCAGAAATAAATTGTAACAGCATTTTAACCCCTGTGGTTGGTTTGTTTGCAGTTCTTTATTTTTCAACTTTATTAAAAAGCTATTTCTGCCCAAGACATGCAAAGAAGTGGAGTAAAAAAGTTTGGCATTCTTAATCATAGATAGATGGATGAATTAAAGCATATATGAGGAAACAGTTTTGGTAAAGATGCTGCTTGGTATTTTTTTGGCTTGGTGCCAGAACTGTGTATTTTCTTTGACGTTTTAAGAGCTATTAATGATGTCACCCAAAGGGGTCTCACACTTCCTTGGTTTTAGGTTCATGGATTTAAGCAATCACGATCCTGCTGTGCACCGACTCCTTCTAAGTAGTTCAAAGCACCCAGTCTCTTATCTGTGCCTACTGTTTTGACTGTTATAACTACTTTTTCATGATACCTTTGATTAAACTGTGAAACTGGGAGAATTTGCTGGCAACCTACCCAAACGTGCAGCTTGGGTTTGCCATCACTTGGTGGTGGGATAAGCCCTGAGAAAGGACAGCCCCCACTGTCCCTCTGCATGCATGTTGGCTGACCGCAGCCTGGAGGAAACCTGGGCAAGTCTCAAGGGTGCTTCAGGAGTGCTTTGGCCAAGACTGGCTGTGACCATTGGGAAATCAGGATTGTGGCCCACATGATCTCTGCAGGCTTTTTCTTAAGAGCACGGTGCTGCTTGTACTTCTGCAGAATAATCTAATAGAGCTCTTCCTGCCTTTTAGCGGGAGGAACTTTCTTCGAACTCCAGCATAGCCTTCGGGAGGCTAAAGCTCCCTGCAGGGTGGCAGCACCCAAACCGTGCATCTGACTTAACACTTCCGTGCTGGAGAACCCGCCTGCAAACTGCCAGCCCGTTGGCATGTTCCTAATATTATTGAACTAATAACGTACCAATACTGCACTGAAGTGGGAGATTTATTGCTTTTGATTGTCCTTTCTAACACGTTTTTGCCTAAAGCATCCTGTTTATCGATCCCTGTTGGGGTACATAGGGTCTGCCAGAACTGAGAAAGTCAGAAAATACGATTTTCCTTCACATCTCCCACTTTGTCCTATAATTCCTTTGCTCTACATCATCTTTACCCCTTTCTTCTCTGACCCTGTCTTACCGTCTGCCATTATTTCCCCAAACTCACAAGATATAATTTAGAAGAATGTAGATTTAAAAGAATGTAGAGGATTTTCTACCTTTTCCCTCCCTTCTGTTTACAAGATGCTTTGTCTGTAACGACAGAGAAAACATTTTAAGGTTGACAGTTCTTTTCTCGGCTTCATGTTACTGCTTTTGTTTTAGTGAAACTGAGCTAATGATGATGGGCACATTTCCCTTGTATAAAGGATATATACATTTATTTCCCCCAGAATTAAATAAACCTTATTTTTAATAACTTTAAAATAATCATACGGTACAGAACAAAAACCAAAACCAAAAAACAAACCAAAACATGCATTTATTTTTTCAACCTTGAACTGCTTAACTCTTTCTTGTACTCAGACTTGTACTTTTTTTTGTGTTTTGAAAAAAAAACCCATAAATGAGCCTTGTTGTATGCTTTCTATGGGCTAAACGAATCAGGCTCTAAACTTTTATCTAGATCTATGGAGCTTGGATATAAATTGAAAAGATCACAGCTATGGGGAAAAGACCTATACTGTAAAGGCCTTTCTGCATAGATTATGAACATCATAACTCAATAATTTTTTTTTTCCAAAACTATAGTTATAATTGGACCCAATGGGGGTCTCTGTCTTTGATCAGATCACAGTAACTGTGACTTTACACTGGAAAATGTCACTACTGTGAAGGTTTATCACCTGTAGAGCTGGTCTTTTCTCTGATGCCATGTTCAGCTCTCATTAGCATTATTCAAAGTTTAGTTGTTAATTAGGTTGACACTTCAATTACAATCATCATCTACAAGAGCAGTCAGGACTGCTTGCATAAAGAAACAAAAAGATACTCATTCTTGCTTATATTTCTGTAAGAATGAAAGCTGTTTCGGTGATAGTTTGTATTTATAATGTTCTGTTTAAAGAGTAACTCTAAATGTTACTTTGTATAGTTTTCTGTGACTTAAATACTGCTTTATTGGGTATATTGCAATACAAAGGGATGTAGAAACATGTATTCAACGTAATTGGAGTTGACTGACTTCTCCAGATATCCCTCATATTGGTAATTAGGAGACTATAGACTATAACTGAGTGTAATTCTACATATCTTTAAAGAATACTGTAATAATTCCATAATTATATGATTTTTCTCCAAAGTATCTCCAAGGGTCATCTGAATTGATATTTCCAATTTTTTTTCCAATTCTGTATAATCAGTGATTGCCATTTGCCAAGTAAGAAAAGACCTCCTTCAAAAAAAAAAAAAAGTCAAGCATTAAAATAAGAATGGTGGTTTGTTTGTGGGTGTTTTTTTTTATTAACTACAAGTGCCTTGTAAGTATTATCCTCTTTTTTTTTTCCCTTTCACATGTTTTATCTCCTAGGGCAATTCTAAAGACAACGTTTCACTAAATTTACACAAACTTTTCTCAACTATTTGACAGTGGTAGCAGCTACTCCCATGGTGCATGAGAAATGATGTAAGATAGTAATTTGACTTAAAAAAAAAAAAATTCCCTAAACCAGAATATTAAGTGATCATTAAGAGTCTTTAAAAATAAGCCTTCATAGTATAAATAAAAAATATCCAACTGTCTTCATTCTAAACAAGTAGGTACATGTTATGATCGAGAAAAAAAAATGCAGAAAAGTGGCTCACATGCAGTTTACTGTAAAATAATTAAGCTTATGTATGTCAAGAGGCCTTGTGAAAAAAAGAGAGCATAAACCAATTTGCATTAGCACTCTACCATCATCCCCTGCTTTCATTTCAATTAACAGACCAGCAGGTGCTCTTTGCAGTTAAAAAGATAAGCTATCAAGGAGGAGGATGAATTTTTGGCTGACCTGTAGACACCACGGTTTGCCTGCTGATTGGGTTCATACCTCGCTGTACCAATTTCTGAGGTGTTAATTTAACTGTTCCACTCTGTCGTGCAGGTCTCGGCCTTGAAAAATAAACTGAAAAAGCAGTCTACAGCCACGGGTGATGGAGTAGCCAAGGCCTTTCTTCGGGCACAGGCAGCACTGTTTGGATCCTACAGAGATGCGCTAAGATACAAACCAGTAAGGCATCTTCTTTACCTCTTTTTTCCTTAATTTATAAGAGCACAGCCTCATTCTTTGAAAGGAAAATATGAAATGTTTTATCCCAGTCTGAAACATTTTAAAGAAAATATTTTAAATCTTACTTTATGCTAAGGATACGTTGGCAATTTAGAAGACACTACCACCTCCTGATGGTGAGTTGTAGAGAAAAATAAGTACTCATCCAAAGTCAGCTATTTTCTTACTTGTATCACTGTTATAATTTATTTAGTATACAATCAGATGGTATTAATGAAGCTACTTAGACACCTGGTTTAATGTGGTGAAGAACTGAAGAGGCTGTGCCTTTCAGAATCCGTCATTTTTGGCTGTACTGGTCCAGAGGCTTTGCTGTGTTTGAGGCCAGTAGCTGTATATTTCCTAGCAGAGGCCAGATAGGAGTCAAACACACATCTTCGCTGTTTCACACTTATCTTGATTTCACTGAGACGTTAGGAGAAATGAAAACCCATTTCATCCCGTCAGAACTTCAGACTTTGTATTTCTGATGTTTTGCTGGTACTCAGTAGATGAATGTGTTATGGACTTTGATCCTTTCTGATTTATGAAGGTGGCACATATTGAGCCTATTAGAGATGAAATCATTTATCAGAAAAAACTTGGAGATTCATTTCATCTCTCAGTCCAGATTCATTTCTTATGATATTTGCAAGCTACTGATAGTAGTTCCGTTTGATAAAATGCATTGAGATGACATTGGCTGAATCAGATTTTGAGGATATGATGTTTGGTGTTCTTGATGGATTCTGATAAATATTGAGATTTGGTAGGAGAAAATCATCCTTGCTTGAGGCATCAAGTTTGTAAAACTGGGGGTTGTGTGTGGGTGCGTGGGTGGATGTTTGTTTGGGGGTGAGGAGGGTGGTGTATTCTGTTGTTGGGTAGGGAACTCTGTGGCATTCCTTGTTGGAAATGGATAGGATAGTTATTAGTTCCACATGAGGCCTTTTCCTGGAGGAAACATTAAAATACAGTACGGCAGGGTCTTCCTTCTACTCAAGTGGTTCTCTTACAGGTAGTCTTTTTTGCTGTGCGCGTTTTACGCTCTTGCTGTCTGTGCCACTGACTACAATTGTTATTGAGATGAAAAGTAACGCATGCAGAAATGTAGTAGTATTTAAGTGTTTAGTTCAAGTATTTGTGTCCCTCAGTCATTATACTTTTCTTATGATATGGAAAGCCAGTTCGCATGCTATATTGGAACGACTGTACCTGTTTTCAAAATTGCTAAAGTTCAACACAGTACTAGTTTCATTAAAACAAATAACTCCAACAAAACAGATAGTTGTCGTTTATTCCATAGTGGTGTTACTTGACATTGCTTCAGGAGGGGTTATCCATTTTGCCCCTTAGTCTAAAGACGAGGACGCTGGTCTGTGTCGGTCAACTCATGGCAGCTCGCAGTAAGAGCTGTTAAGGCAAAAAGTGTCTTAATCTACGTTCGATATATGCAAACAGAGTGATGTCAGCCTGGTTGATGTCCTTACCTCTGTTCTGCCCAGAAACAGGCTCCTTTGTTTTGGTAAGTTTGTTGAATGGAATGTGCAAGTTCTTTAACATTCTGGTTCGCGTCTCTGTTGAAGTGAGCTCACCTTTTAACTGATTTCCATTTTATTTCAGTTTATCTGTTGGCATATCTGAGATATCTACATCTGCACTGTATTGGAAGTAGTGCATCATGCATCATTATAACTGGCAAACGTTTGTCCAAGTGACCTTTGCAGTCTTTCTTTCTGCATTATTTTCGTTGGCATTTTGTGTTGGCTGCTTAGGGTTTTTTTTATTTTTTTGGCTCCACCGATTGCATATAAGAGAAGATATTTATGAAACCATTGTGGCCTGATGGTTTTTTTGTTTTGTTTTGTTTTAAAGATATTTTATTTCAGAGTATCTTAACAGGCAGAGTTCTGCTGGCAAATACCAGCATATTTTGGATTGGCATCAACTTGTCCAAAGACAAAGCATATTAAAAAAAAAAAAAAAAGTAACTGTTATTTTGAGCTGTGTTCACATTGTTTTAACTAATTTTAGTATTTAAAAAAAATTCTGTTGTGATAGAAAAATTTATTAGAAGTTGGATTTGCTCTGGATTAGTAGAAACTAAAGATGAGTTGTGCCATGATTTTACAGGTCATGTTAGATGAGCCTTATGAACTAAGTTAAATGCACAGTGAATTGTGAAGTTCAAAAAATCAAATCACATTTGACTGTATTAGGACCGTTTGTTAGGAGTCTCAAAACTTGTGAGTTGTTATTGTAAATAAAATACTATGCTTTGGTTTGGAGTCTATGGTGCTAGACCTAATAAGGAAATCTAAACCACAGCTATGAACTTTGTTTACATTCTTTCAGGAGCTCAAGTAGTATTCATGTAGGAAATTTGTAGGGGGTATACTTAAATGAGAGTATTTTCTATATATATTTGAAATATTTTTGCTATAAATCAGCTTGTCACGCTTTCAGACTCAAGAACTGATAGGTTTTGGGGTACCATTTTTTAGGATCACATGATGATCCTGATGAAAAATAAAACAATGTGTTTGGATAGTTATCGATTGCTTGTAAACTGAAAAGTGTGTTTAAGTGAGCTATTTTTCTTGCAACAGTGTGTTCTGTATGATTTTAAGTTGAAACATGAAACAACTGTCATTAATATTCACTTTGAGTAAAGAACAGCTTTGATGGTGTCTGTCCTCATCCAACACTTCTCTTCACTCCAAACGCTGTTCATCACACTGAACACCCATTCTGTGCAACTGTTTGTTTTCAGGATAGGACAGATTCTCCTTGGTATAGCAATATGTCTTCAACAAACGTCTAGCAATTATTGAAAAAAAATGATTGGAAAAAGGGAAAATGGGAAGCTTCAGGGGTCTTGGAAGGAGTTCATGGGACTCCAAAAGACCATATGGAAAATTTAACTACTCTAATAGAGACAGGAAATATGACATGTAATAGATAAAGGTGATCCTATTTTTTTCTATAATAACTGATAATAAAAATCTTAATCCAGTAAAAGTTTCCAAGAAAACTGGAAATAGTTGGGGTTTTTTATCTAATCAGGGTACTGAATTAAAGAAATCAGTCAAATTGATATTACTGCCAAAATTATTTTTGTAATATGCTACACTTTACATTAGCAAATATTGCATAATAGGAGTGGATCTGCGGAGCAAAACAGTACAGTTGGTGCTAAGGACCTGACATCCACACAGTGTGCATTTTCTAGCTTTATTGTGGTTCTTATTTTAGTCTGGTATTGAATACTGAATACCCATGACTAGCTGGAGCTCATTTTCTGCTTTAGTTTAATCCAGAGGGAATTCAGTTAATGCATGGTAGATGGGGATGATTGGAAAAATTCTTTATACAACCTCTTCTACTATCTTATCACATTTCCAAAATTTTGGTAAGGAAGAGAAAAAGAAAATAAAACAGATTTTTCATCTTTATTTACTTCAGTGTCATGTGATAAATGACCAAAAAATAGTCCAGAACAAAACTGTCATCAGTGGAATAGCGAGTTAGAATGTTTTTGTATATGGTCGCGTTCATGTAGAGGACTGCAGTCCATTTTGATAGGGTAACATGTATGGACTTTGAGGTGTGGGGGGTCTCCAGCAGCGCAAGCCTACAGCGGTGGCAATGAGGCCATTCAGGCTGGTTTGCTGTGAAGAGCCCTGGCATGTCGGAGGGCAGGCGGCCAGTGCGTGGCTGCACTCGCCCAGCTAGCCGCTGCAGTATGAGCCGTTGCGCGATCTGCGACGTCGGCGATCGCAGTTTTGATCACAAGAGTCTAGCCCTGCCGAGGCATTGCAGTGATCGGAGTGTTGTGACGGAAGGGCTTCTTGTACAAATCCAAAGCGTGTTTACTGTGAGTGGTTACAACTTAGCCTTGAAGCTTTTGTCGCTCCTGTTGTCTGTAGGTAGTCAAGCATTTGGGAGTTTATTATGGAATAAGATTGCATGTTCCAGGTTTCAGAATTGCATGCATAGGTGGGAATTAGATACATTGATTAGACATTGCAGCTTGTGTCATTCTGTCAATCAACGTATGTGCAACGTTGTGTTTTTTCTAGCTATTTTACATTACGTGTTCTTCGTGGGTCATTTTTAGGCATCCTTCCTTATCTCGGACAAGAGCCACGCCAGTCAAACATTTTAGCAGCTCTGTGGTGGCTGGGGGAAGTGAGCCGTACACATCTACTTGTGCAAACCTTGCAGATGAAAGCAAAGATTAGTAAATTTTTTCCACTAATCATATGCAGTATGGTCAGTTAATAATACACTGTATGATGTAAAGAATTCTTAAACAGGCAATATTCCCACTGACGGTGTGTGTCTAGAGTGGGAAAGGTAGTAAGAGAATGAGGAAGGAGCCGAAAAACAATGAGTATAAAAGTATTCACCATAATAGGGATTAATTTGAACATTATCAGGAAAACAAGCAAAGCAGAAAAGCTGTTTGCTCTTAGGCAGCAAGCATCAGGAAGACATATAGGTGTGATTTTTTTTTTTTTAAATTAAAAAAGGTAATTCATCATGGCAAGACAAATACATTTCAAATGTATTTCAAATAAATCCTCATACTTTATGGCACATCTATTAAAAGGTTATGGAATATAAGCAACAATAGCTTATTATCTATCTTTGAAACACTGGCTTTTCTTCAAGAATTAGCTAACAAAAGATGAAATTAAAAAAAAGTCACCTCTTTTTGGGAAGAAGTCCTCTAAACTCTTGATGTTACAACAAAGGAAATAGCACAGGATAACTTTGTTTTTAAGTTCCGATGGTTGTAACATCACTCATCAGAAATTAAGAAATGAAGAGCAAAGGCTAATGGTTTGCACTGGAATGCTCTGCGGTAGGAGTTCATGGTCTCAGCAGCACGCCGGGGGTGCGGAGATAACTTCCAGCTTGAAGATAGCACAACCTGTCAGACCTCACTTTAATTGAATGCTAACTGGGGCGCTTCGGGCTGGTATTGATGCTATTTTAGGTAGTGACATCAGCTGTCCAACAGCTGCAGGTATTGTATTCAATATACAATAAAGCAAAATAATACACTTAAATGTTGTATTAGGAAAAAAATTGATATTTTAGGATTCAGAATGCACCTGAATTACTTGAGAATGCATAAGTAATGATGGCTTATAATTGAGTTTCAAAATGAAACCTTTTGAGAGAGGTATCTCTTGAAATGCACATTGACTTGTTTCCCTTTCTCCCAAGAGTTAGGCATAGAAAGTACAGCAGAGTACAGAAACAGAGAAGGAGTAATGAAATGCCGGAACATGGTTTGTGTTTAAATTCAGAACTACCCTGTGTAATATTTGTTATGACTATTCATTGTGACTTCCATAAGGATTTTATTTTATGTGTTGGAAACCATATTGTTTAATTTGTCTTAAGGACCGTAGTAGTCCTTTATTGAATATAGATATTATATTAATAGGAGTTGTACGTTTTAACTGTGACTATAAGAAATATCAGCATATCTGAGTCTTTGTTTGGGTAGGTTGCAAGAAATTTTCAAATTTTGCAGAAATTTGTTTGTAATTTTAAATGGCACCTTCTTGAGTAGGATCATAGGTCATATTCAGTTATCCCCTGGCCTTTATCTCTGAGAGTCACGACAGCAGCGCTGTACTTCCTTGATTTTAAACAGAGGAATTTTAATATCAAAACAAAAGTGGTGTTTAACTTTTTTTTCAAATGAATTATACAAAACCGAAGAAGCTATGCCCATACCTACCTCCCTTATACTCTTCATGTAATAAGCGAGAGCTACCATGTGAGATTTATTAATTATAATAAAGCAATAGTACAAATTGTTGATGTGAGTCATCTCATGCTAGAGAGATATAAATGTTTTCTGAAATAATTAAAACGTTTGTACTTCTTGTTCAAGTTACGTAGCGCTGGATTTGGAAAGCACAAACATGCCTTCTAATCTAGATTATTTTTCCTTTTAAAATGATCATGCTGTTTTATCTAACTGCTTTCATGTTCCATTGAGGTCTGTATAAATAGCTTGCTTAAAATGTGAATGTAGCTT